TTTGATCTATGGATAGATGGATTAATCTGTCATTCATTCATTGATTCAAAAGGTCTTCTTCAACAAATACTCATCGAATTTCTCTGTATCAAACTTAGGTATAAAATGATGTACAGATAAAGTAGTTCCTAGACTTAGGGAGATTTGTTATGTGCCGTGGAGTTGGTTCCAACTCATACTGACCCTGTACAGGGTTTCCGAGGCTGTAAATCTTTACGGGAGCAGAAAGCCTCATCTTTCTCCTGCGGAACAACTGGTAGTTTCGAACCGCTGACCTTGCAGTTTGCAGCCCGATTCGTAACCACTGCGTTACCTGGTTATTGTTGTTGCTTTGTTAAGTGCCACGGAGTAGGTTCCGACTCATAGCAACCCTGTATAGTGTTCTCAAGGCTAGTAAGAGCTTGAACCGCCAACCTTGCAGTCCAGCTCAGTAGCACACAGCACCGTGCCAGGGCTCCTAATAATGTAATTAATTACCTTTTCCACTATGCTAATGGTGGTGATGGTTATGTGCCATGGAGTCGGTTCCAACTCGTAGCGATCCTGTACAGGGTTTCCGAGACTGTAAATCTTTACAGGAGCCTGACTCATAACCACTATGCTATCAGAGCTCCTAACTAAGCTGATAGTCTACTATAAAAGATTATTACATAAATATAACTTGATAATTAGAGAAGGGTAGTATTTTACAAACAGTATTCTAGAGGTGACTACAGAATTCTTTTCTGGGGAGAATATTTCTCTTGTATTTAAGCATAATCTTTAAAGGGATTTTTGTTGTTGTTGTGTGCCACCAAGTCAGTTCCAACTCATAGCGATGCTGGATAGGGGTTCCGAGGCCATACATCTATACGGAAACAGGAAGTCTTAAAGAAAGATGCTTAAACAGGAAGAATCCAACTTCAATGTATTATACCTGTGTAAAAGATTAGTCTTTCTTGGTTCCATGGATTTCTTCTTTCAATGTATTCAACAAACAGTTTTCAGCAGCAACTTCTAGATTTAGAATGGTGAAGAATACAGAAATAGGTAATTGCCCTTAAAGAACTCCCAGATCCAGTAGTATCTAAAGGGCCTTTACATTTATTCCTTCTTAATCTACTTAGTTCATTTCTTCAACTGGATGGCCATGTACTGGTATAATTTTTCTATAAAAATATTATGGCATTTATCTGTAAGTCCAAATGTTAACATTTATCTTTTATAGTTTGCACTTTAATTATCTCAACTTATCCTCAAGTCCTCACAGTGTCTCATCTTAAATTTTCCCTGCCTTAGGAAATGGATGGAGGGCGGGGCTGCGTCTACTTGGAAGGACCTGAGAGAGCTGGTCCTGCACCCACAGCTAGACTAAGAAGTGAGTGACACATGACAATAAAGACTCAGAAGCACTGACACCCAACATTCTGATATTTTCAGGGGAGAACTTGGTATACTTTATGAAGCATTAAGTATCAAGGTAGTAAAAAAAAAAAAAAATAGTGATCTTATACAGAATTGGAAAACTTAAGGACCCTCAAATCCTATGCTGATGGGGGTAAAATATACGTAATATGTAATCACTGAAGCCTTAACCCAATATATATGCATGTCCGTTTTGCTGGCAAGAAGTCCTAACTTTGATAAATTTTCAAAGAGTTCATAACTAACACCACTATCCCCCACCATTAAAAAAAAAGTCAAGAATATCTGACAAAAAAAGTAAGAAATATAAACGAATCATAATCCAAAGCAATAAAGGAGTACAGAAAGTTCCTGCAGCAAGCTAACAAGTACCAATGGGTAAAATAATGTATCTTTTTGAGATGAAAACAACCTAAGTGCCCATCAATAGATGGATGGATAAACTATGGTACATACACACACTGTAACACTACTAGACATTAAAAAGTACCAGATGAACCTGGAGCACATTATGCTGAGTTAAATATTCAATCACAAAAAGACACATAGCGTATGAGGCCACACCAATGAAAAATCAAGGTTTACTCATAGAAAAAGGAAGAAGAAGAAGAAAATTTTTTGAGGTTCTCAGGAGTGGGAAAGGTGGATAAATCACTAACTAGAGGGTTGATGTTGTTGTTAGGTGCTATCGAGGAGGTACCGACCCATAGTGACCTTATGCACAGCAGAATGAAACACGGCCCGATCCTGGGCCAACCTCACAATTGTTGCCACGCTTGAGTCCATTGATTCTGCCACTTGGTCAATCCATCTCATTGGCGTCTTCCTCTTTTTCTCTGACCCTCCAATTAGAGGGTAGATATGTATTAACTTGGGTGAAGGGAAAGACAATATATAATAAGGGGGAGGTCAGCACAAAATGATCAAGGCTAGTCAGACCTCTGGCCTTCAGGAAAGGGTCTTGCCTTCCATATGAGCAAAGGTTTATTATTGGAAAGAGGCTTGTAAAAGAAAACCAGGAATGCTTAACACAAGTTTAACATCATCCCCTCCATGGACAAAGGCTTTGCTGGGTTTTAAACTTTGGGGTAGGGAAAAGGCATCATGTTTATTCATAGAGATTGGCAGGGATTTCCAGGAAATGGCCTGCATAGGAGTTGTTGTTGTTGTTAGGTGCCATCGAGTTGGAACCGAGTCATAGCGACCCCATGCACAGCAGAACGAAACAATGACTGATCCTGGGCCATCTTGGGAGAGAACATCTTGATTGTATCACGACTGATATAGAAATTTAAAGTGACAGTTTTGACATAAAACCAAACGGCCACCACTTGTCTGTCTGTTGTGCTGTGGTGGCTTGAGTTGCTGTGATTCTGAGGGCTCTGCCACCGGTATTTTAAATAAC